TGGATAGGTCAAGTCGCTAATTAACCAATCAAAATGCTGGATGGTGCCCACGTGTGTAAATTACATAACTCATTTAAATATGTTAATAACAGTTCAGCGACCTCATGGTGAACGCAACACGGAAGAGATTTACCGATAATGTGGTGCGATCTTTTGCCTTTGATTTCCATGGGAATACGGCATGATTTTTTTTTAAATCAAGAAATTATTTGTTTTCGAAAGATAAATTATTCTTCAATGCTAAAAGCTCATTGTCTAAAACTTACGAAACACAGACGTATTCAGAAAGAGTATTGACAGAGGTCGCCGCCAGAACAAAGGCAGTTTCATTGCCTGTCTGACATCTTATCACCGCTGAACAATAAATAGGTGTGAATATTTTTAGGCATGTTGTCGAAACAAATGAATAGGATTAGGAACAATGCCGTTTTGGAACAGCTGGATGAAACAATGAAGTCAGTCACGGTCTTGTTGAATTGGGGGTGCGGTTAGTAATAGGTACTTTTCAAGTTTTCAATTTTTGTTAAGAACTCTTTAACCCCGAAGCCGGAATTGGGGGTGCAGTTACTATTACGTATGCGGTTTATATTAGGACTTTAACGGTACATACAGCATTGTGTGAGCATAACTAAGGAAGCTATCAGAAGGCTACAAACTTATAAATTTATCTCTAATTTCAACTTTACTCCAATTCTTAGTAGTATTTACCTATGTTACCTTATAAGGTACATATTTAGTCTTTTCACAACCAGACTTCCTGCCAAAATCTTTCTGCACTTTTTTTCTTACATCATTCAGTATTTTTGGATATGAATCCCAATTTGGGAGCCAACTGACAAAATTTGAGTCAATTTTTATTTTTTACTCCGAAAATTTGGCTATATTTATCCCAATCTTCTGAAGGAAAGTGCAGATTATAAACAGGACTACTCTGAATTTGTGATGAAAAGTAGGAACTGGTGGTGAGAAAGTTAGACCCGAAAGCAAAATTTAGATGTGGTCATTTTGAAAACAAGCAGAGCGAGTTAAGCCAGTTAAACATTATTGGTAAGGACACACAAAATACAACTTTTTAGATAGTTATACTTGGCTCACAGATTATATACAACAAAATAACTTACTCTTGTTTATTGTTATTTGCCGATTCTCTAGTACACTCCTCCCAGAATCCACCAGGCGTGTTTTTGGATTGAGGATCTCCCCAGACACTAGTACCATCAGACCCCCAATGTAAGGCATCACTGGTATTCGTATTTCCCCACACAGCAGCTTGGCCAATCGGAATGTTTGGCTATAACAAAGTCAAATACAGTACATGTGTAAGCATCATGTAAGCATCACACACTTCACCATTGAAGATTAGAATTGGTTAAATGTTATTTACGGACTAGTATTTGTCAGATATTTTTTCTTTCTGTAAATGATGTATACCATTCTGCATGTTTGACGGTTGCCAAATTAATCCACTCATCTAGATCAAGCTTATTACATCATTTGATAAAGTACTGAGAAACCATTGTAAACTCATAGCACTTGCAATTTGCACAAACAAACAAAACGTCAGGAGAGACAAACGGTGACATTCAATGTCCAGAACTGTCGCCTGGCACAAAAATATTTTAAAAAAAACAAGCAGCCTATCGGCTGAGATAGCTCCGCTGTTAGCAATGCACATTTCAATTAAAGAACTGAAGACATTAGAAAATGAACAATATGTATAGTATCAAAGCAATCGGACTTACAGTTTTTAACAAGATGTCGAAAATATCACTTTCTACCAAAAATGACAAAAATATTCACCAAAATTAGAGAATTGAGAAGATATCATCACGAAATGAACAAATCTGAGAAAGGTCTACATGTAGTATCTCTATATGTAATATCAAAGCAATTAAACTTTTGGTTTTCAACAAGAAGTCGAAAATATCACTTTTTACCAAAAATGACAAAAATATTCATCAAAATTAGAGAATTGAAGATGTCATCACAAAATGAATAAATCTGAAAAAGGTCTACATGTAGTATCTATATATGTAATATCAAAGCAATTGAACTATTGGTTTTAAACAAGTCGAAAATATCACTTTTTACCTAAAATTAC